TGTTTTTATATGATATATATTCATTTGTTTGATAATATGCACAAACTTGTAAAACAAATTTATGTAGAAATTATGAGTTCGGTATTGAAAAATTACGTAGGTTTAATTCATTTGTTCTTTTTGGATGAATCATTCCAAAAAACGACATCCTGTAATTTGTTTACCAATCATGAATGATAACATTAATATGTTAGATCAGTTTAAACAAAATTATGCAGAGTAGCACATCAACATTTTGTTGAAACAAACGATCATATTTTTATTTTTATTTTTATTTTATTTGTGTGTGTAGAACTAGAAGTAAAACACTGGCATAGGTCTAGAGTTTAGGCAACCAATTCCTATGTTTTTTAAATTGGGCTGTCGGCTGTGTATGTCTAAGTTGGGCCTGACCGACCCGTATGTATTTTTATGCGCCTATCATTTGGGGCTTTTAGTACGCAATTACCTACACTATAGCCTTACATGAGTGCTCATGTATATAATTTGTATACACTGTGTTTTGCCTAGGTGATGTAGATCTAACTATTTCTAGGTTGAATTGTCTTTTCGACAAGATTTTTTTTGTGTTTCAAATTCACCATGGAAAATCACGAATGTTATACTGTTATATCATAAAGTCCAGAAAATAACTGTTTGCAACAGTGTGAAATTCGAATACAATATACATATATCCAAGACATAGTTCTGTTTATAAGTGGTTATTAGATACTACTTACAAATCAACAAAATAAAATAACATCTCCTGAACACACCAATATCGATTATAACCAGCTAATTTTCATTCTGTGCTTTACTTTATATAAACCGATTGAAATGAATATGGAAACAATTTTTTGGATAGTTCGAATGATATACCCACTCGTAATGAGTAGTTTTCACTCACATTCTCTAATGGACAAAAAGGGATTTTGGGAACATGATCATATGATTTATGAGTCATAAGCAGGTGTTAACACTTAACACGATATGGGGTCCACCTTATATATTTATCTACCAAAGCAAAACCACTTTATATACAGTATAACCCTAAAATCTTGGTTCGGTAAAAACATTAGCCTCAACATATCTTTAGTCTTTAGATTAATTAGCTGGTCTCTTTATCAAGAGTAAAAACAGACTTCAAATATATAACTCTTTTTTTTGACAACCAAAAGATGATCAAATTCAAATGTATTATTATTCACATTATTATTAATAACTTGTATTCCCCTTTCAACAATAGTACCATTTTTCTTGGTTTGTTTCAATAATTCAATCACGTGAAGCAAACCGAATTTTTTTATAAAAAGAATTGATTTTGGTCTTCCATTCCAATGATTTAATTTCGGTTTAATTCGGTTTCACAAGTCAAAAGTCTAACCATTCAGATCAAACCACGTGGACTCATTATAGTGTTCCGCGTCACAGAAGATCAACACTC